ATCACTAAACGTTTATCGGGCTTTTTGTTACTGTTAAAGACTATATTTATTTTTAAAAAAATTTTTGAGACAAGATCTTGCTGTACAGTTCAGGCTCAACTTAAACTTACTATGTAGCTCAGGCTGGCTTTAAACTTGGGGTGACTCTGCGTCAGACCCCCAAGTGCTAGGATTATAGTTCTACAGGTTCCCATCACCATGCTCAGCTTTCAAGAAAGGTAAAATACCATTACAGCTTGCATTTTTTTCTTTTTTCTTTTTTGTCTTTTTGAGACAGGGTCTCACTATGCAGTTCAGGCTGGACTTACACTCACTATGTACACTAGCTGGCCTCAAACTTGCAGCAATATCTCTGCCTCAGCCTCCTGACTGCTGGATTACAGGTGTGCACCACCTTGCCCGGTATCATTTCATTTATGCTATGAATATACTTAACAGCCTCTGAAATACAAAATTGCTAAAAAGAAAATAACCTGTACTCCTGCCATGCAATTTACATTTATTCATTACTGAATTTATGCATTACTGAATAATCACTCTCAATATCTTAAAATATGTGCTTTCCTTTGTTGAGAACAATATCACTCCAGTCGTATTATAAAAATCATATATGTCCATTATGAAGAATATAAACAAAGTAAAAAAGAGCTAAAAGTTGAAAAATGACTCCACATTTCATCACCTAGAAATAAATATTAATAAAGGAGTAAACATCACACTTTCGATGCATATACACAGAATAGATTAGATATTATATTTAAGTTTTTATAGATTTAATAGAAAAAAGAAACTAAAGGGAAACCAATCCTATTCTTAAACTCTCAGTGTACCTGGATAATCCAAGTTTTTAAAAAATTATGAAAAACATTATTACATTTCAATAAGAACATAAGAAAAGCTTTATCCCAACATATTAGCAAACAAAGGAAACAAATGCCTATCAGTTAAAAAGACTGATAAATTATAAACCCATGTATAATTATAGATAGAAATGAATATACTCAAGCAATAAGATCAACACAAATCTCAAAACAATGCTGAGTTAAAACAAAGTACAGAATATTATTTTTATTATGACTAAGATAAAAAACTAAGATAATTAACTCAAAATATTTTTACATATGCTTAAAGTATAAAGAATTTAAAGTTTGTAAACAACTGACACTAAAATCTGGATACTGATTATCTCTGGATTTTTAAAAGCAAGCACCAGTCTAAAGCATGTACATTAGCAATGTTTTTTTGTCTCCTGAGTGGAGAATGCATTATTATTTTCATTATTTCCCTAAACTTTTCTGTTTGTCTTAAAATTTCATGTATGATTTGAAGTAAATAAACAGTGGCATCTACTAAATGTGAATAGTATGTAAATTTTTAACCTTGTAAATTAGGAATATTTTTGGAATGTTCCACTTTTAAAAATAAAAAGTGTGGGGCTGGAGAGATGGCTCAGTGGTCTAAAGCACCTACTTGGAACAAGCTTGGCAAAGCACAGGGACCGCGGTTCAATCCCCCAGCACCACATGCC